CAAGCGAGTATCTAAACTTTGTGCGGAAATATCCATGCCCTGTTTCTTATATCCGGGGACATTTATTTAAAATCTTCCACCATTTGTATGTAGATATAGTTTTCCTTGTATGATGTCTAAATATTTTTTATTTATGTATTTTATATTTGAATAAAAAGGATGAATTTACGACCGAATTCAGCGTTGCGGGAAGAATTAGCTGTGTCCAATCAGTTGGAGCATTTTCGTACCGTGGTAGATAAGATTAAAAGCAAATATGAACCATACCATTTAGGCGCAAAAATATATGATGTTGAGGAGGTGGACCCCAGTATTTTGTTTATCAAGCAGGGTGTTGGTATTTATTTACTTAAGTGTTGATTATATGTTCACTTGCAACACACACACTGCGTATGCGTAATTAAGTGTTGTAATCTCACTCAAGGCACGTACACGCAGTAGTGAGCACGCAATAAACACATTTTCACACAGATTTCCGTTTCATATTAATTTATATGTAACCACGTGCTTAATGATTTGAGTATCGCTTTTCATTTCAGTTTAATTTATCTTTGCCACCATGGCTTTGTCAACCATACATTCGTTTGACTCCTGAGACACACAAACAAATAATTGCTGAGAAGATGCGCCTTGCTGAGGACCCTAATCGTCCTAAACGTCAATTTTTCGATATCGAAGGAAATGAGATCTCCCGCAAGCGCATGAAGAAGCTACGTAGGCGCATGCGACGGCCCAATATACCGGAAGGAAAACATGTGCGCAGTTTAGAATGTTGTAGTCAATGTGCTAATCCTGTGGGTAATAAATGTGAATATCGTTTGTGTCGCACTTGCTGTCGCGATAAATGTTACTCTGAAGATCATGATTGCCTCGGGCATGGTATTATGATTAAATCTCGAATTGTTAAATCAAAATTATTTAAATGTCAAAATGAGGGCAAAAGAGAGTATGTTTTATCAGAGGATGTGGAAGACATGCCTGTACAGTGTTCTAAAGATATAGATTAGGCCAATAGTTTACCTAACGACGAGAACAACCGTGTTATTAATGGGAACAGTTGATTTTAAATTATGAAACTAAACTTGCTATTAGTTCAAACTGATATACATACATTTATAAACATATACCATACATAGTCAAGTTGCTTAAGGTTGTTTGTGTATACTATTCCTACCATAAGGAATACTCAAATAAAAGTTATATGTGACTGGGTATGAGAAAAAGGTGTTATCAACCAAAAAAATTTTAATTTGTCCTATGACGGTTTCTGATATCTATGTATATATCTCGAGTGAAAAAGAAATTTTGGTTGATAACAGCCAATATAAATCTACTTATTTTTTTATTCATATAAGAAAAAAAGGTGAGTAAATCACCACCTTACTAATTTCAGGTGTGCTAGTGTAAATTTATTAGCAGGGAACGAATTTTATGGAAACTGCCTTTTTTTCTGCTAAAGAGATAGAGTATATTTGATTAAGAATGTCCGCGATTTAGCTTTCCCTGATTCCATATATGTATACCCAGTTAATGTTACCTTCTTTTGCCTTTTCTACCTTTAATTGCAAAGGGCAAGGAAAGGGCTTTACTCCTGATAATATGAAAGCAAGGACCATAAATAACAGTTACGTTTTTTTCAACAGTTAAACTTGGCCGGATATTTTTAAGTCGAAAATAAAAGTCTAACGTAAACAAGTAAACAAACCGCTTATCCAAATTAAACAAGTTTGGTATTGACTGAAAGAGGACTAAAATAGCTTTAAAACTGAAATGTCTAAACGAGGAAAGCCAGCGGAAAGCCAGATATTGAAAAATATTTCAATATAAAATGTTTTTAATTACCATAGAAAAAACCTTGGGTCAGGTATATGCATTTCTTTTGTATTCGATTATAGAAATAAATATAAATAGAAGTGGTAACCTTCGTTCGTTCTGTTTAAAAGCTATTTAAGTCCTCTTTGGTACCAATTTTTTTTAATTTGGATAAGCGGTTTGTTTAATATCTTTTATTTTTTGCTTAGAACATTTTGTCTCCTTTTACTTTTTGAAATACACATTTCTTTGCTGGACATTCTTTTCCATTGTGTTGTTTTTTTATTTTAATCTTTTCATATACACACGCAACCCTGTCAACTATCCTTAGCTATAAGGTGCCATATTGAGGATAAAAAAGTGCCAAAATTTGCCAAATAGAAAAATAAATGTGCCAAAAAAGGTTAAATCCTTCCCATTAAAAAATAAAGTAAGAACCACATTTCTAAAACAAAAATGCAATGCCGAAATAAGATAAACCAGTTGAATAACCTTAGAAATTAGAAAATTTTAGTTGAGAAAAAGAAGTACACGCAAAAAATTTCACAAAAATGTATTGAAATATTACTATTTTTCGAAAGTGTCATTTTGGCACATTGTACCTAATTGAAAAATTAAGTGCCATTCGATGTAAAATAGGGCTAAAAATGGCACGGTTTGAGCCAAGGTGGCAGCCCCGCACATACGCAAATTGGAGAATAAAAGATGGTTTCTGACTTATTATTCTTCACCGATATGATGGCACATTTGCAAAACTTGAATTTGTCTCTACAAGGAGAGAATAAAAATGTTTTTGATTTGTCGCAAAATATTTTATGTTTTGAAACTAAACTACGTCTATTTATTCATGATTTCAAAAAAAGAATATTTCATCATTATCTTGCCGATTTGAAATTATTTAAATGTACGTTTGCATACTTCATAAACCCTTTTTTATGTAATATAATTGGGGATGAATTTACAATATCCGAAATACTCCTTTTTAAGAAAAGCGAAGAAGAGTTGGAATTTTTTGAATTAAAAGAAGATAAGGCACTGGAAATGCAATATAAAGCTTTTTCATTGCTTGCGTGCCGTATATTTTCAATTTTTGGTACAACGTATAACGCTAGGCGCACATTGCATCCGAGAGGCCGACCAATTTCGGCCGAACAATTTTGACCGTCCGAACTGATGTGCACACTTAACC